TATTGATAATGGTTGGATTTGGGATATATGTTGCTCTAGGCTTTGCGACATACATACCTAACTTTTCAGTCTACTTAAAAGGTTATACTATAGTTGTCATATGTATTGCTTCTAAATACATTCAAAACTCCCTCTGATAATGTTATCATTTTTGCTTCAACAGTTATACATATTTTGAAGAAATTAAGAGGAGAAAATTGTCTTCTTCATTTACCCAGGTATGTTACATTTATTTTACTTTTCCTTCATCCCTGAAGTTCTAAGTTTCTCTCTGGCACTATCTTCCTTCAGCCTGAAGAACTTCTTTTAGCATTTCTTTCTCCTTTTCTTCTGGGATTCCAACAGTGGTGTGCTAGAACTGACTCATACCAGCTCACAAGAGTTGATTCTGCAGATTTCTTTCCGATTCCTCGTTCAGTGACATAATGCTGCTAGCTTCAAAATGACCATGGTGGGATTATACACACCATGGACATTGAAAAACACTACAAATACTTTTTTTTGAGAGCCAGTTTTTCTATGGACTTGAGTGACACAAATGTTAGATCCTTTCATATCGGTCCCTAGGTCTCTGAGGTTCTGCTGAGTCTTCAATCTTTTATGTCTCTGTTCTCCATATTAAATACTTTCTATTGATTTATCTCCAACTTCACTGACTCTTCAGTCATCTTCATTCAATAGTGAATCCATCCAATAATTCTAAAATTTCAAGTATTTTTTCAGTTCTAAAATTTCCACTAAAAAATAGTTTCTCTTCTCTATCTTTCCATTCCTCTCAAGAGTGTATAGCTTGATCTCATGCCATAGTTATAATAGCTGCCTTAAAATCTGATAATTCTGAGTATCTCATTGTTGGCATCTGTTATCTTTCTGTGTGTGAGAACTGGTCACATTTTCCTGGTTCTTTGTATGTTGAGTAATTTTAGATTATATGCTAGACACTTCGAATATTATAGTTGACTCTAGGTCCAGTTAAAATGTTCTGAAGAATGTTGATTTTTGTTTAACAACCAATCAACCAGATCAGATACTAAGTTTAGACTGCAAATTCTGTCCCACCTTCTGTGGGGGCTGGGTCCAATGTCAGTTCAGTTTGCAAAGCTTCTTATGCTATATAGAATTAGTCCACACATACAGTACTCAGTAGTTAGCCTCTAACTTGGTCAGTGGTTTAAATTGTAGTTCTGTTCTAAAAGCCTTTGTGGTGCTACTTTGAGTCTCTTGAGTATATGCAGCTGAGAGGTGAGCCTGGAATTTTGTGTTAATTCGTTCATAGAGTAAGGGGATCCCCTTCTCCAGCTCTCTGCTCCCTGGGTTCCTTCCTTGTCCCACAAGAGCTCCTTTTCCCAGTCCTCTAGCTTTACCATTATTACTGTGCAGTTTCCCCAACTCAGGACAAAGTAGAGAAAAAAGGGAAATCTTCCCAATTCTTCAGATTGCAAGGGTCCTTTCCAAAAGACAGGATTTCCATCAATTTGAACTGCTGGACCATTGGCCACTGGGGCTTAGCTGGGGGCGTACCCTCATTAAACTGTGAAGAAAAGAAAGAAAATAAAAACCTAAAGATTCACCCCAACAATCTCTAGCTCCCAGGGACCCCTTTTCCTGGTCTTTTGGCTAGAAACAAGGGTTTTTCCTGAGTTTTACCCACCAGAGGTGCCACTGTGACGGTGCTGCTGGGGTCTTCCCTTGGCTCAGGGCCAAGGGAGAAGAGAGGAGAAAAATGGGAAATTCATCACTTTATGGGGCTTTTCTTCAGCTCCAATTCCCCAGTTCACCTTCTTTTCTTTATTTTTCAATGTCCGTTGCCTTTTGCATTTTGTTCAGAACTTTTAGTTGTAGTCAATGGCATAGTCAAGATAGAGTAAGCCCTTGCCTAAGTCCAAAGCATTATTTTTAAGAGCCCCAAACTGAAAATCCAAATGCCCTCCAACATCAGAATGGAAAATTTGTGATGTATTTATACAAAGAAATATAATACAGCAATGAGAATGAACTACAATGACATCAATAACATGAGCGAATCACACATATTATTTTTGTTTAGTGCCTGAATCTGAAACTCCATTTTTAGCCTTTTTTTAATCAACAGAAGATAGGCAGAAAAACTGTATAGTCACATTTATATAAAGTTTAAAAACAGGAAAAACTAATCTATAATATTAGAAGTCAGGATAGCTGTTATTTCTGGAGAGGAGGAAAAAAGTACTGATTGGCAGGTGGCATTAGAAAAGCTTCTGGGATGCTGTGAATATTCCAGTTCTTGGCTATATGGTGGTTACACGTGTAGTCACTTAGTGATAATTCAATGAACTGAATTTGTTTTCTGCATTTTTCTGTACATATTCTATGCATCGAATTAAAATTTTTTTTGAAAAATTAACTCGTTTCCGGTTGCAAGTGATAAAATCCTAGCTTAGAATGGCCTATGTATACATACTAAGATGAATTTACAATAAGAATACTGAGGTGCTTCATAGAATCCAACGATAGGGATAATACTGGATTTCATGAAAAACTGAGCCAAGAGCTCAAGATTAGCACCTTCTCTCTCATTATAAATGTCTCCTCCAGGAAAATATGACCACTGACATGAAAATCATTTTATTTGCACTGAGACATTTGTGGTGCACACCTATTGTTCTATGTTCCCAGGACCTGAGAACCTCCACTCTAATCTGTCTCAGTTCCTTATTTGGTCGTGTCTGTTGTTTAAGGTTATTTTATCTTAAAACTGGCATTATGCTCAACACCACCTTCAGGGAAAATGGTCTTCCCTCATCCCATCCATATCATTTTCATGGGAGTTATCCTGTTTTTAAGGAGCCCTGCTGGAGCAACAGTTAAGTGCTTGGCTGCTAACTGAAAGACTGGCAGTTAGAACCCACCCAGTGGTTCCATAGGAGAAAGACCTGACGATCTGCTCCAGTGATTATAGCCTAGAAAATCCTATGGGAAAGTTCTGCTCTGCCACATGGGGTCGTTATAAGTTGAAACGACTGGACGGCACTAAGAACAACAACACCTGTTTTTGTTTGATCCCAATCCCCAGGCAACAATTAGACCACCTGACCTATGCTGAGGAATCCTATCCTGAGAATTTTTGAACTTGGGACCAGAGTTCTAGTTTTGAACAGGTACTCGTAGAGGTGGGGTACAAAAATCTGCCGTAATAGCTCTTCAGGTGATTCTGAAGTTTCAGAACCACTGCTCTACTCTATCTCCGTTCTTTATTTGGTTGTGCCTCTTATTTAAGGTTATTTTAAAACTGCCATTGTATTCAACCAACACTATCAACTTACAGCTTGGTAGACTGGGTATGAGGCAGTTCTAGCACTGATAAAGGATACTATATGGAAGAATATTAAAAAATAGGTAAAGTTCTGGAATTAGTATTTGCATGTTTTTTCTGGAACTGTCTTTTTGCATCAAAAGCCATCTAAACCATGGCTATTGTGACTTCAGAATTAAGAAAAAGTTACACTGTCAAGAATGAATACGATCTCAGTTTCATAAAAAAAATTAAAAATAACAACAAAGAAAATACCTTCAAATTTAAATGTTTGACTACCTATGGAATTACTTTTTTCTTCTTTATATGTTTCGAATTTTCTACATGTATAATTTTTATAAGAAAAACCAATTAACATTATAATAAACATTACAAACAATTTATATGCTAGTCTTACCAAAGAATATCTGCAATCAGGAGGTAAGAAATATATGCCCTGCTTTCAATAACAGTTAATGTACACCTTTGTTCAAAAGCAAACTCATGTCATCATGGTAAGTGAAAAACACTTTCTCACCTTAAACAGGAGACTCTATTCTTCTACTTGGTATTTTATAACCATGTTAGGTCAGCACTTAAATATTTATTTCTGGGTGGTGGGATTGCAGGCAACCACCATTTTCATCTTTGTTATTTTTTTTAAAGCTATGAGTCTCTTATTGCTTTCAAAGCCAGAGAAATAAAACTTTTTTGTTTTCTTCTTCTTCTCTTCAAAAAGAAAACATTAAGGTTACCCAGGGCAGATAAAGAATTGGTTTGAAATTGGCATGCAGTTAACACAAATTTAACCAAGGTGTATTAAGTAAGGTCTGTGTTCCAATTTTAAACTGGTAACCAGAGGGCCATTCAGTCCACCCAGACTTATATTTAAAAAAATTACAGTTGCTAATTTTGGCTTCACATACACATGAACGTCTTCCCTCCACATGGGATTTAATTTCTCTAATCTTTATTCTGCTCTTGTAACTCAAAGCTAAACTTTGAGATAGCAAATATTTCACAAGAGCCTTCATAAGGCTTTTCCTATTTTACTGGGTAAATAACAAGTTTAGGTAACTTTTCACTCATTGATTTACAAGTGTATTGGCATTTAATTTTAAATGGTTCTTAAGGTTTTTAGACTGGCTTGAGAGAAAAATATGAGGGTGTCATTTCTTAATGCCTTGCAGTGAGACTAACAACATGCTTTATGATTCTGTAACATGGGGCACAGCAAATACTTCCTGAAGGAGCATGGGGAACTAATTCAACAGTGTACGAGTTTTGACTTTTCCATCCATAAAAGAAAAGATGTACACAATCACCTAAATACTCATATTTCATTTAAAAATGTATTTATTTCCCTTTTTGGAAACTCTTATATAATTGTTTTTTGCTTACTTTATATATGCTAACTTTTTCTAACTAGGTAACAATTCACAGCAGAGGAAAAAATTCCGGGAACAAACCAGTTTGGAGTAAACTATACATTTACTCCAACTAATCCACATTTGAAACAACTAGGACAAAGAGAATGTAACATGATATAATCCAATCCCATAAAGACTAAGTCTGAAAGGGAAATATGATTTAGTCTGTGTGCTTAAAAAATCAACTAAGGCATGTATAAAACCAACTAGGCAACTAGGGGGGAGGGTAAAAAGAATCTTCCCATATCCAGAAATTAATAAAACACTTAGAAAAACAAATATAAATTTAATAATAAACATTATGGTCAGGTTGTTTATTAAGGAGGCAACCACATATACAAGTTCGGCTATAGAAATGTTTGCAAATCAAACTTCATGTGATCTAAAAGGACCATGCGTAATGTCAAAAATGGACACCTGTACATTCAATAAAAAGTTAATTTAAACATACATAGTCTAGATCATTCTAGAGTTATACACACGTCTGGGGCCACATATGTATCTCGTTTTCTTTCAAAAAAAAGTTTCTTTTTCTTAATAAAAGTGATGTATTGAGATAATTTTAAAAAGTATCTGACAATTATGAATGGTCCCTGGTTTTACAAAATGTGATTTTCAGGGTATGAAAACCGAAAAAAAGTCAACTCTTCAGAGAGTGTTTTGTATTATACAAAAATTTTTGTAGAAAAATGATCCAGCAAATGCTTAAGAATATTTACATTTTTCCAATTCTTTACACTTTTATTAACACACTTACAAAAAATAACATTCAAACACTGAGAAAATTAAATAACTTTGGAAGCAGAGCTCACAACTTTCTGCTTACATATAAGTGACAATTCTGGGTTGTTGGCACAAAAAATAATCCACATTCATAAAACCCTTACTACTATATATCAAACATAAGTTAAAATCATAGGCACTAGTTTATCAAATCCACATTTCTTCTGTAAGACTAACCACAGTGATCCTTAGATTTCCCCAAACAGAAAAATTGGCAATACACAAAGGCTTCCTAGTAAAAAGGCAATTTTTCTCTTTAGGAAACTGAAAGCCAATAGTCTGTGGTAGTACAACAGCAGGTAAAACAATACTTTACCAAACTCAGATCCAAAATAAAATTTTAACTAGTGATGAAATATTTTAGTTAAAAAAAAAAAAGACATTTTTTTCTGATGCAGCCATTTAAAAAACAAAGTTCAATAACCTGAATACTCCTTTTAAAACTGATTAAACTTAAAAAATGTAATGGATGTTTCATAATAGAATTATTAGGTTGCAGCATATTTTTGTTTTGTTTTGTTTTGCAATGTTGCACTGAAAACTGAGACCTATTTTATTTTGTGTATATGTGGTTTTCAAAATAGACAGTGGCTAGTTCTTTCTTTCACTTACTTAGATTTACATGAGATACCCTCCCCACCCAGAGCAGATGCTTGCTTTATCTTCCTCTGAAACGCAACACTTTTCAGTTCATCATCATGTGGAATTCTGGTACCATCTTTCCCGACCCACCCCATTACCCTCAAATTCAAGGATAAATTTCTTCCTTGCATTATACATCAAAATACGTTAGTACTGGCAGTTTAAATCTCCAGCTGCTTGTGCTAACTGAATGACTTCCTACTGGTCAAGCTAATAAATACTACCATGGTGTCAGTCACAGCAGAATGGGGGTCTTGGTTATAAGTTTTATCACTCCCTTAGCCTATGAACCTCAATGCTGTCCTGAATATCAAGCCTTCCATTTCTCTCTCACTTTCTTTTGCCAACTTACAGAATGTTTTTGATTAACAGGAAATGAACTATGTTCAAATCTCTAAAATCTTTTAGGTGACCTGATTTCCAACATTTTAGAGCTGTTCAAATTAAATATTTAAAAACAGACCTCACTATTAAATATGAGAAGCCTGTTGCAGAAGAAGTTTTAGTCTGGTAGTAAGTCTGATAAAACCAAAATAAGTGATTTCAAGGGTATATATAACAGCCATTAGAGAGCAAGTATTTAACGGTTATAGTCATATGTAGTAGCTTTCATTTGTTGCCAAAAACGCAAAAACTGATGTAAGGCAAAATCTAAGTCAAAGGGGACAGTATTTTTAAAAGATATTTTATACAGTTACAGTTTAAAGTGGACCAACTTAAGTAGGATTCAGCACGCTCTATTTTCCTACCACTCAAAAGACTGTTCTGTCATTTAATATCAACAATACAACTGTCGTCACCAGAGATTTTGTAGGTTGAGTGCATAGATTTTTTTTCCCTCTCTTTCTCTCACTGTATGGTTTTGTTCCAGGTTGTAAGCACTGAGGTGTTATTGTATCAAGAATAAAGACATACTACTTGCTCTTTCCCATCATGGAAGCCTGCTAATAAAAACACGATTTCTTAGTTCTGTAATAGATAACAGCGTGTGAAAAAGTTGGCTTCAATAGCAAAGGCCATCTTTCCTGAGCCAGGAACTATAAAGTTTAGAAAGATTGTACAACTGATATTAAGCCCTTTTGGCAATCAAAACAAACACATAAAAGTCCGATATGTCAATGCAACATGATGGATGCACGCCGTGACACTATTTGTTGTTGGTGGTGGTAATGTGTTAGCTACATCCAAAACTTAAGATTAAACAAAATGACATTTCTATTAAACAATTTTTCTAATGAATCTGCAAAAATAATTTCTAGAATTCTCCTAAATTTAGATATCATGCTTCAAATCCCTAGTCCAAGTTTCTTATTCTTCTCTCGATCTAGTTTCCTGGAGTGCTAGTGAAATACTAATGAAACACTTTAGATAATTAGTCAGAATATTAGTTCTCATTAACACAAATATTTATTGGTACTATTTATATAGTAAATTAGGTTGACTGTGAGGTCAGATAGCCTGAATTCACCATTTTGTTGTGCATGAAGTTACTCTCTCATTTACAAATGGGCGTTTCTCTTTGGCATCCATTAGGTTTTTGCCCAGTTATTGGCCTCTGTCAAATATTAAAAAAATCAACTTGGTTCCTATTAAACAAAACTAAAAATGATTCCATGGAGAGTGACTGTATGATTACCAAACACATCTGATGTTAAATGTCATTAAAGTGCTGCTTGATCATCTCTGTCAGTTTGTGCTAATTAAGACAGAGAGGGCTGGGATTTTATAAACCCCAAGAGTCTTATCTGAACAGTCTGCATATAAAAGTTGTTCTTCAGCCTGGTGAAGGGGTGTCCATGAAGCTGTGGACCTCTGCATGCTTGTCTTTGCTGGTCAATAACAGCCATCTTTCCAACTGTCATCTTTCATGGTACCATAGGTTTTAGGAGCTGGCAAGGATCTGAAAAAAATTTTATAATGTGATTTGCCAGGTTTTATGAAACATTACCATATGATCTACCATGTATATTAACTACTTTGCAGGTGGCATCGTGATCCCATGAAAGCTGTTTCAGGGACTATTAAGACCAAAGTTCTAAACAGCTATTAGTATAACCTTCCCACACATAGCATTTTTACAACTTTCAAGTTTTACTGGGGACCAGGTGACTTCCCTAGCCTCTTTTTGTTAACACAGCTACTAGATTAACAGAAGGGAAAAGATCATCTTACCTTTTTCAACCACATGGATAACCAACCAAATATTAGTATTTTTCTTTGAGGGGCAGAATGATGAATGTGGTATTAGAGACCTAGTACACCATCAGTGGGGAGGCAGTATGTGTGGTTAAGAGGACTTTGAAGTCAGACATACTTGGAATTGGAGGTCTTTTTTTTTTTGATTGTACTTTAGATGAAGGTTTACAGAACAAACTAGCTTCTCATTAAACAGTACACATATTGTTCTATGACACTGGTTAACAACCCCATGACATGTCAACACTCTCTCTTTTTGACCTTGGATTCCCTATTACCAGCTTTCCTGTCCCCTCTTGCCTTCTAGTCCTTGCCCCTGGGCTGGTGGGCCCCTTTAGTCTCATTTTGTCCTGTGGGTCTGTCTAATCCTTGGCAGAAGGGTGAACCTTAGGAGTGACTTCATTACTAAGCTAAAAGGGTGTCCAGGGGCCATACTCTCAGGGGTTCTCCAGTCTCTGTCAGGCTAGTAAGTCTGGTCTTTTTCTGAGTTAGAATTTTGTTCTACATTTTTCTCCAGCTCTGCCCGGGACGCTCTATTGTGATCCCTGTCAGAGCAGTAGTGGTGGTAGCAAGGCACCATCTAGTTGTGCTGGAAATTAGTCTGGTGGAGGCCATGGTAGTTGTGGTTCATTAGTCCTTTGGACTAATGTTTCCCTTGTATCTTTAGTTTTCATACTCCCTTGTTCCCAAAGGGGTGAGGCCAGTGTAGTATCTTAGATGGCCGCTCACAGGCTTTTAAGACCCCAGACGCTACTCAACCAAAGTAGAATGTAGAACATTTGATTTATAAAACTGTGTTATGTCAATTGAGCTAGATGTTCCCTGAGACCATGGTCCCCACAGCTTGGAGGTCTTATTAGTTGTGTGACCTAAGGAAATTATTTGACCTCAATGAATTTCAATATCCTTCTCTGTAAAATAGGAATAATAATAGTATCTACTCTTATAATAGGAGTCCCTGGGTGGTGCAAATGGTTAAATGCTTGACTACTAGCCAAAAGGTTGGTGGTTCGAACTCACCAAGAGGCACCAGGGAAGACAGGACTGCCTGGCAATCTGCTTCCAAAGGGTAACACGCCTTGAAAACCCTACAGAGCAGCTCTACTCTACACACATGGGGTCGCCAAGAGTCGGGAATTAACTTGACAGTAACTAACAACACTACCCTTATAATATTATTATAAAGCTTAAATAAGCTAAGTATAAATTATTCAGCACAGTGCACAGCAAAAAGCTGTTGTACTCTACTAGTAAATTCAGAAATATAAAATGTTTATCTTAGAATTAAGGAAGTATGGATCATTCCATTTAAAAGTTATGGAATGAAAACCTTTTTTTTGCATGTAAATAAATATTCCAAGTTTAATTATAGTTGACATCTAAGTTTACTGACAGTGGTAATCACATTCCTGAAAGGTAGATAAAGATTATAGATGCATGGTTCCCAATTTGGATGGCTATCAGAATCATTTGTGGAGATTAAAAAAGCACACCTACAGAATTTGGGGCTTGTACCAGGCTCTAATAAGTTAGACTCTCTGGGTATAAAACTTAGGCCTCTACATTTATATACATTTATATAAAATCCACAGATGATTCTGAATTGTATCAGGGTTTGAAAACCACCCTTACAGGTTATACTCGGATTTGGTAGCTAGAATTTTTATTTTAAATCTCACTGTAGGTTCTAACATGATTTTATTATCTTGACAAAATGAACAAATACTACATCCACACTGAACCAAATTGGTATAATACTCTAATATCCCAAATGGAGATTTCTTCAAAATAATATAGCAATGTTTTATTCAAATTGTACTAAGACTCTAGTGGAAACCCATTATGACTATGTCCACAATCAAATGCAGAGATGAGGGTAATTTCAGTCTAACTCACTTTCCTATGTTTTCAAACTGCTGAAACAGAGCATGTACATTTGCCTTACCTGCGAACAGGCTGTGCAAGTTTGCTGCGAGGCACTGGTATACCCCCAGCAGAAGGGGCACTGGGTCTGGGCAAGCCACTCCTCATTACAGTTGTCCCTGCAGGTCTGGTTAGAGTAGCGCTGTTGATATTGCTGGGAGGATTTGCTGGGACTGTGTTCTGAACCATGGGAGGTCCAGGTGAGGAGGTGGTTTGTGTGAGCTGTGTTATTTCTTGGCTACCAGGAGAGCCAGAGCCATGGTTACTAAATGCTTTCACTGGTTGCCGGAGAGCCAAAGGAGATGGTGCTGCAGGGGAGCGGAATTTGCCTGGAGAAGGTACTGCAGAATAGGGAAAGAAAAAAAAAATGTTTTCAGTGAAAACCAGGTATAAGAGAAAACAACTGCTTTATATTACACTTGATGATTGGGTACCTGTATTACAAAACTTCAGTCTACAGAAATACAAGGAATAAAGAATATTTCTGGGCTAATTAAAAAAAAAAAAAAATCTGGTAAGCTCTAAATAACCGCATCTTTACTCAGGGAGTTGCAACTGTCCTTGACAACAGTGTTTTAGCTAGGCCAGCTTGGAACCTACAATACCAAAAGAAAAAAGGCACTGCAGGAATCTGTCTCACTGTAGCGACTAACTGGGGCCACATATGGACGTACTAGAGATGAAAAGATTGACTACCAAATTGTTGACTAGAATTTGAAACACATCTCCCTTCATCCCTAAGAAACATTCATGTAAATGTGTACCAAGTATCTAGTGGTTGTACCTCCAAGTCCTATTTCACCTACAGTGTAGCATAACTATGCTACTTTAGAACTAAAATTATTATTTTTAAAAAACTGTTTCTATTGCTGTGCTTCACAGAGTAGGGAAGTTAATATCTAGGGATATATCAAGAGGCATATGAAGTCACAAGATAAAAGATGGTGTATTCCTCTGGAATGTTAATTCTAGTTAAGTGGTAGGTTAAAACACTTTTAGATTAAAACCAACTCAGATACATGAAAGAATAAAATGTACAATTTGCATTACTTTTTAATCCAAAAGATTTCCAAAAAAAAATTACTGTGTGGGATACAAGGTTGGTCTATACAAGATTGGTTTAACATTCAAAAATTAATCAATTATAATTCTACATATAAGAGACTAAAACCAAAAAACTATTTGATAATCTCAATAGATGCAGAAAAATCATACAACAAATTTAATATGCATTTATGATATTAAAAAAAAACTCCTCTCAGGAAGCTAAAAATAGAAGGGAAATTCCTCAATATGGTAAAGAACATCTATGAAAAACCTAAAGGTAATATCATACTTACAGTAAAAGACCAAATGCTTTCACCCTAAAATGAAAGAGGCAAGGAAGTCTGCTTTCATCACTTTTATTCAACATTACACTGGAAATCCTAGCCAGTACAATAAAGCAAGAAAAATAAAAGGCATGAAAAAAGAATTAAAACTGTCTAAATAGTTTTTTGGTTTTAGTCTCTTATATATGAATTATAATTGATTGATTTTAGAATGTTAAACCAATCTTGTATAGACCAACCTTGTATCCCACATAGGAAACTTTTTTTTGGAAATCTTTTGGATTAAAAAGTAATGCAAATTGTACATTTTATTCTTTTATGTATCTGAATTGGTTTTAATTTAAGTGTTTTAACCTACCACTTACTAGAATTAACATTCCATTGCCCTTGACATGATTGTACACTAAGAAAATTTAAAGAAATGTCAGAACTACTGAGTTTAGCAAGATATCAAGATACAAGGTTAATATAAAAAAAAAAAATCAATTGATTTCTATATACTAGCAACACACAACTGGGAAATGAAATTTAAAAACAATACCATTTACAATAGAATAAAAATATGAAATGCTTAGGGATAAATTTAACAAAATATGTTCTATATCTGTATATTGCAACTATAAAATATTGCTGAGAGAAATTAAAGAAGACCTAAAGAGAGAGAGGGAGGGTGATAGGGAAGGAGGTAGAGAGGGAGACGGAGATGCTATGTTCAGGATTTGAAAAAAAAAAAATCAATATTGTTAAGATGCAAGAATCAGTATTATTAAGACACCAATTCTCTCCAAATTTATCTACACATTCAGTAACATCCTAATTCAAACCCTAGCAGGATTGTTTTTAAATATAAAAATGGTAAATATTGACAAGCTGATTTTAATATTTATATGGAAATGCAAAGGATCCAGAATAGGCAAAACAAATTTGAAAAAGCACAAAGTTGGAGAATGTACACTACCTGACTTCTAAACTTACTACAGAGCTACAGTAATTAAGTCAATGTGTTATAAGAATAGATATATGTTAGTGGAACAGAATAGACAGAAATAGACCTATACATATATGGTCAATTGATTTTCAACACAAGGGCCAAGGTACTTGGAAAGGACTGTCTTCCCCACAGATGGTCCTGGAACAACTGGATAGCCATATATAAAAACCTAAACTTTGATCTCCTTACCTCACACCACACAACCACACACACACATACAAATGAACTCAAAATGGATCACGAACCTAAACGTATAATCTAAAACTGTAAAACTTCTAGAAGAAAACAGAATAAAATTTTCATGGTCTTGTGTTAGGCAAAGATTTCTTAAACAGGTATCAAAGGTACTAACAACAACAACAAAAAACAGTTGTAAATTGGACCTCATCAAAATTAACAACTGAAGCAACCATTAAGAAAACAAAAAGGCAAGCCAAAGACTAGAAGAAAATTTTTCAAAACATGTATCCGATGATGAAAGATTTTATTCAGAATATGCAAAGAATTCTTAAGACAAGCTAATACAAAAATAGGCAAAACATTTGAACACCTATTTCACAGAAGATATATGAATAGCCAATAAGAAAATGAAAATATGCTCAACATCATTAATCATCGTGAAAATGCATATTAAAACCAGAACTATATATTTAACTTATTATCAGAACCAGAATAAAACATCTATGAGAACAGCTAAATTTAAAAGGACTGATATACCAAGTACTGTTATATTCTTATAATCTTCACAACTTTTTAAAAATTTTATATAATCCATCTTCTCTTTTCTACAGGTGACTACAGAAATATCTTCTCAATTCCATTTTCTACAGTTCCACTTTTGTCTCCCTTGCCAGACAAATCTCTACCCAAGTGGTTTCACTGTCTTCCTGAAGCCTCAGTGAATAACTCAAGCTCCATGTCTAATTCCTCTAGCCACCACCTAAGGGTGGAACCTGGACCTGTTCCTTCTAGTGCCAACTGCAGGAAGCCATTTTCAGTCCTAGTTTTTTACCATGGTTGGAGCCTTGAGACCAGGGTTTTGCTTTTGGTGTGAATAAACTTTTCAGTTAGGAGCAAGAACAGTAAGGTTCAGGGAAGAGGACCATTAGTTCCAAAGAGTACTTTGGAAAGGTCTGGGGAGTTGGGGACAGATGGAAAAGAGGTCAGATTAGGAGACACACTGAGACATTGTGGATGAGGATCTGGTTGATTACGGATGAGCAAGGAGTCTTAGGCTTCCTTCTTGTGGTGACTGATATAAAAGGTACGGTGAAATTAGGCAGATTATATGATGAAGCTAAGAATGTTTCATTTCCACATGACAGCCTTACAAATATTAGGATGTATCTACAATGTTTTGAATGTCTTACCCCAATCCTATCTTGAAATTAGGCTTTGTAAAAAGCATCTTTTCCTCTGAAAAATTTCTAACCACCATTTTAACTATTAAGACAGCAAGCATATGCTTGGGGAATGGTTGTCTCCTGAAATTTTTTAAAAATGTGAATCTCAGACTTACACTTCTAAGAAAATGGAATACACGTACTTTTCCCTATTCTTACCACCAAACACAATTAAAAACCTTGGGCATCATATATGAAACAAATGTAAGAAGGCTCTGAAAGGTGGAAAAAAGACGGCATACTTGCTAAGGACCTTAGGGCCTGAGGGAAGACATGATGGTGAATTCCCAGGGTTTTCTTTTTGCCTCATATATCCCAGACTTGGAGCTGAAGAAGCCAGCAACCAAGAAGTCAATGGGTGCAGGAAAAACTCCCCAACAAAAGCCTACTCTCTCTATCCAAAGGATTAGGAAAGAAAATTTTTAGACAATGACCACTCTACTCCAGTCAAATACTACAAAAAATCTGTGGCCCCACCATGACAGTGAAGGCTGAAGGGCCACTTCTGCCCTTGTGAAGCTATAACAATGTGACCCAACATCCTCACCAGGGAAGTGTCAGAGAAGGCCAAGTAAGAAACGGGGACTTTCATACTCACTTGCTGATAATGAGCCCCCATCTCATGGCATCAGTCTCCACTACACAGAGAGCCTGGACTTCTACCCTCACCTGGCAGTAGCAGGGTGCTTTTCCCTCTCCCCACTGGTTGGTGTCAGAAGAGGCCTAATTGAAAGTTGAGACTTTAATGAAGGCTCAGTGTTATAACAAGGCTACCTCCTGTGATATCAATAGAGACCATGTGGGGAGCCAGAACTCCCACCTCTATCCAGTAGTAACAAAGCAGCCCTGCCCCCTTGTGTGTCAACAGAGGTCGAGTGTAGAACTTGAACTTCTACTCTCACATGGCAGTAACAAAATGGTACCCCCCACCAAATGCCAGAGTGGTATCAGAGAAAGACACCTAAAAGAGAAGGTTTGTTTAAGATCTTAAGTCTCATTACATAATCCAAAAATGTCCAGGTTTCAATAAAAAATAAATCATCATACAAAGAACCAGGAAGATCCCAAACTGAATGTAAGAAAAAAAAAAAAAAAAAGAACAGATGTTAAAACTGAGATGACAGATGTTAGAATTATCTGACAAAAATTTTAAATTAGGCATCATAAAACCATCTCAACAAGCAATTATAAACATACTTGAAATAAATGCAAAAAACACAGTCTTTTGGCAAAGAAACAGAAGAATCAAATGGAAATTTCAGAGCTGAAAAATATAATAACCAAAAGAAAAAAACTCAATAGATGGATTCAACAGCAGAATGGATAGGTCAATGGAAAGAATCAGTGAACTGGAAGATAAAACAAAAGAAATTACCCAATCTGAACCACATAAAACATAAAGAAAATAGACTGGAAACAAAAATGAACAGAGCTTCAGAAGAACCTGCAGGAGTATAAAAAAAGATATAACATTCGCATGTCATCAGAGTACTGGAAGGAAAGGAGAAAGTGAGTGAGGCCAAACGTACTCTAAGAAATAATGGCTAAAAACATCCCAAATTTGGCAAAGGACATAAACCTACAAATTCCTTAAAGAAGCTGAGTGAACCTCAAAC